TAAGAATAATAAAAAGAATAATATGCTAAGTGGAATAAAATTAGGATGGAATTAAAGTATATTTCCTGAAATGTCAAAATATGTGTTTATTTAAAGTGACGTATTTAAATAATTGAGTACTTTTGAAAAGTGTGTAAATAGTGTAATCAATTTTTTACAAAATATACATGGGGGTCTATTTTAAAAAAAATTGGTTAGCATTTTTAAAATTTTATCCTTGAAAAATCTGAGTACAATACTGTATTCGATGTAAAATGATGTATAAGATTTAGTTTATGCCATCTCATTACGACACAGGAGGTTTAAAATTCAAGAAATTGCCAAATTCTCTGTTTCTCCATGTATCTCAAAAATAAAGCCAGCTATGCTCTGTATGTGAATGCGAGAGAGTTGCACGTTTTAACTATTTTTGAAATTCGAAATTTTCAATATTAACAAAATAAAATTAGGATGGAATAAAAGCATATTTCCGAAAATGTCAAAATATGTGTTTATTTAAAATGACGTATTTAGATAATTAAATATTTTTAAAAAATGTGTAAGAAGTGTAATCAATTTTTTACAAAATATACATGGGTTTCATTTTAAGAAAACCTTGTTTAGTATTTTTAAAATTTGATCCTTGAAAAAATCTGATTACAACACTGTATTCGACGTAAAAAGGTGTATAGCATTTAGTTTACGCCATCTCATTAAGACACAGTATGTTTAAAATTCAAACAGGAATTGAAATGGCCAAATTTTCTCTTTCTCCACGTATCTCAAAAATACAGCCAGCTGCGCTCTGTATATGAAGGCGATAGAGTTTTGTAACTATTTTTAAAACTGGAAATTCTCAATTTGGGTGGAGAAAAATAAATTGAGAATAAGCATTTTCTCATTTTTAGAAATAGCAGAATGACATTTGCCAAAACTTAATGATTAGACTCTGTAGGTCAACTTACCTGTCTGACTACCTGCCTCTCTCGGGACAATTGACAATCATCGTAGGTACAATACTGCTCCTATAGAATACTGCGAAATTTCATGGTTCAATAATGATAATCACAGTACACTATTGCCAAAATCGCATCCTTCCCCAAAATCAGTTTCAATAGCGCTACAGCATTAATAAGATTTACAGCGGCTTAAGTTTTGAACATTGATTTTTGTATGTCGCTTGCGATTTTAAAAGCTGTAACAAAAAATTCGATACTGAGGCGTCCATTTGAGAGGTTGATGAAGTAAACAGTTGTTATTTCTTTTTATAAAACTTCTGGATTCCTCCCGCTTCAGTTTTTGTTGACTCGAACTAGCTAACGTTTCGCCAATCATCCTGTTGGCTTCTTCAGAGATTGACTGAAACTATGTTGTTATTTCTTGTACTTGCTTTTTCTGGGAAGAAAAATTTCATAGAAAAACCGATCTGTGACAAGATTGAAACTAATCCCTCAAACGAGTTATTATTCATTTAACTGGGAGGAAAAATTGAAAAATTCCGACAATCCAGAACTCGATGACCAATGACAGTAAACGACGTTCAGTTCACAAGAAACCAGACAACTAACCCAAACATAAACAATGGCTCCTTTTTTTACTCCCTTATCTAAAATTGCTAATTCTTCTTCTCTTTCCTTGAATTTTTCCTTGTAATATCAGTTGGAGTAGTTGGTACTTTTCTCCTCTCATGACTTGTCCAAGGTACTGAAGTTTACGCTTTTTTACCGTAATGATAATTTCTTTTTCCTTTTTTTATTCTTTTCAGGATTTCCATGTTGGTCACTTTATCGGTCCATTTTACCTTAAGTATTCTACGGTACAACCACATTTCGAACGCCTCCAGTTTCCTTATGTCCAGTTTCTTCAGAGTCCAAGCCTCTACACCATAGTACAGGACCGACAAAACATAGCATCGCACCATTCTGATTTTTAAATCCAAGCTGAGATCGCTGCCACAGAGCACTCTTTTCATTTTCACAAATGTTGTTCTCGCCTGTCCTATTCTAGTTTTGATTTCTTCAGAGCAGTCGTTATTTTTATTTACAATTGTACCTAAGTATTTATAACTGTCAACTTTTTCTATGGAGTGGTTATTTATATGAATTTGTGAATTGTTGAATTGTTAGTGACAGTTCGAACTCTTCACTCGATGTATTAACTTTGTCTACTGCAATCTGTAATTCGTTTAGGTTGGTAGTTATCAGGATCGTATCATCCGCATATCTTATATTGTTGATAGGCACTCCGTTAATTTTTAGTCCTTTCGTTTCATCGTCCAATGCTCGTTTCATTATTTCCTCTGAGTAAAGGTTAAATAACATCGGTGATAGCACGCACCCCTGCCTAACGCCTCGACGGATTTCTATTTCTTCGGTGTTATTCCCTTCTATTTTTACCACTGCTTTTTGATTAGAATAAAGATTCGTAATAATTTTTATATCTCCGGTGTCTAAGTTCTTCTCTTTCAAAAGCTGGATAAGTTGTTCGTGTCGGACCCTATCGAAGGCTTTGTTGTAATCAATGAAACATATATAAAGATCCTGATTCATATCCATACATCGTTGGGCGAGAACGTTCAAGGCAAATATTGCTTCTCTTGTACCTAAGCCACCTCGGAAACCGAAGTGAGTCTCGCTGATATCTTGTTCTAATGTTTTGTATATCCTGTGATGTATCACTTTCAGAAATATTTTTAGCGTATGACTCATTAGACTGATTGTTCGAAAGTCTGTGCATTGCCTTGCATTATGTTTTTTTGGGATAGTGACGAACGCTGATAGCAACCATTCCCTGGGTATAATACCTGTTTTGTATATGGTGTTAAACAGATCTATTAGACTGTGTATGTTTTCCTCTTCTATCAGTTTGAGAATTTCAGAGGGTAACTCATCAGGCCCTGCAGCTTTTCTGCTTTTGCTGAAAAGCTGCCTAATGTACCATAATTGCTAATTATGGTACATTAGTTACGGGTTTATAGAGATCGAATGTTTATGGTAGCTTTAAAACGGTCACTCAGTAATTGCATTACCTTTTTAACAGATGTACTGGGGTCGGAATTTTCCCTGAATGTTTTAAGATGTCCAGAGTTGTACCGATATTCCAAAAGAGACAACCTAAATTGCCAAATAACTAAAGCAAAATATCTATTGGCACCCCACTCTTAAAAATTTTTGAGTTATTAATAAAAACCAGTTATCACGTTTTTCAATAGCAATAATTGTATATACAGTGCCCAGTTCGACTTTAGCCTGCTCTAATATACAAGCAATCTGCAGAGTTACGGGAGACGCAGTGGAGGGCCTTGAGCAGGGGGAACGAGTGGGTCTTACTCCTTGTCATCTTAGCAAGGCCTTCAACTGCGTTTCTCACCACTTGCTGCTGGAAAAATTGAATAAATATGTGGTGCGGCGACATCCATTTTCAACATATAATAGGTTGGTGATAGGTGCCAGTGTGGAACTTTCAGCATGTCAGTTCGTTGTGTAAAACACTGTCAAACAAAAATTAGTCGCCATGAAAACATTAATCATGACATATAATTCTCTGTTTCATTCACACCTAACATATGGTCTTCGAGACGCATTAGAACGGAAAAGAAAAAAGGTCGATAGGAGATATTAAATAACATTTGACTTCCAACTTTGGAGTGTATCGCAGGCAGCGTTCGATACGTACAGTACTGTACGTATTGGATGGAAATTTCATATCTTGCATTTATTTTAAGTGTTTATTGCTGGTACCATTTGTATTCGTCTTTCAAAATTTTTTATCCAATCATTAAAAATAACTATCGAATATCACATAATCTCGTTTACCTTTCTAATAATCATATCGAGTATAACCATTCGACGATATTTATTTATTTTTTTCTTAATAAAAAGAATCATGCCATCTGCATAAAAAAAAGTCAATTCAGAAACTTGGGGTTTATACAAAAAGTATTATGAAATATTATCGACATTCTCAAGTAGAAAATAAAGATTTGTCATCAAAAGAGCAGTTTAAGTTCAGGTGTGTTGATTTGGAAGAGCATTTAAAGGAATTTAGCCAATATCATAACACGGTGATTATGGAACTTGTGGATTCCGATCCACAAGAGGAGTAGACCAAGCAAGAAATAATCAGAGCGGAAATTCAAAATGTTTATGATGCTTGTAAAATCAGTTACGACAAACTTTTTCGTGAAGATGCTAGAATTCGGTATATCTACGTTTAAGGCGAATAGGAAGTTATGGCCTACGTTAAAAAAAGGCTACTTTAAAAAATGGGCCAGCAAAAGAATTACGAGCATTAATTGACACTGTTTCAGAATCACCAGACGTTCACTTTGACGTTCAAAGCTAGGATTACTTCATTTGTTTTATATACTAGCTTCGAAATGTCTAACGCCTAGGTCAAAATTCCTACTTATCCACTCTCTTTTCTCTTTTTTGGAAAACAATATTTACACCCAACGAAACCTAAACCTAACTGGCAACCTAATACTCACCTTCACAATCCCAAAATTCATAATAAACCTATACCTCCATTTTCAGAGTTAGCTAGTAACAACTGCAATACTGCTGTGTATGTCACTGTCATTCTTTTATATTTGACATTTTACGAATGTATTTAGCTGTGGGAAACGGCTTGCGACAATAATTTTATTTTTTAAACAGAAAGTATTTAACTTAACGTATTTAACAAACTACTAAATGGTCGTAGAAAAAGTATACATAGTAGGCAATGCTTTTAACAGTTCTGCAGACACTCAGACACCTCGAAGTTTTTACGTATCGCCTTAAAATCAAAAGCAACCGGGTTGAGTGCCATAACTGCTGTAAGTGCTATAAATTATTGAATACGCTTTTCGAATTTTGTAGCAGTAGTAGCTCTAGGCTACTAAAAACATTATGCCGTAATATTGTTGTAGTTGTGTTGAAAACAAACAAACAAATAATGGCTACCAAATCGCGTTTAGGTTCTCCTTCTCACCACACGCAAGCATCAGACAAGAAAAGAAACCTGCGGTTTGGTTTAAAATGAATGTTATTATTCTGCTTAGTTTTAGTTTTCCATTGCTACGTTTTAAAAATTTTTATGACGACAACCGCAATCGCTAACTTTGGTTTCAAATCTCTGGCAATCAACAAGTAGTTAAACACTTCGCAGTGTTACTCGTCACGCCTTCACAAAACCGTTCTCTTGATTATCAGTGACATCGCCGTCGACGTCAAGAATGTCGCACGTCCTTTTCCACACCGACGTTGCCAAATCGTGGTCCAACGCGGAAGGATAGCCCGGCACCACCGCACACTCCTCAAAATGTCTTCCGGAATACTTTTCCAACCCTTGTTCGGTAGCCGTGTAGATGATCGTTTGGGCGCCCTCTTCCGGTGACTAAAACTAAGTTTCAAAGTTGCCGCTCGTTTCGATCGGGGGTAATACCTTAAAGTAAAGCGCTGACACGGCGTCTAATATGAGTTTCCTCACACCTTTGACCCGTCTAAATATCTCCGTTCGGATGGCGCCCGGATGCAAAGAAAATGCGGATACGTTGGTGTCTTTCAGTCGTCTGGCCAGTTCCGTGGTGAAAAAGATGTTGCACAATTTGCTGTTGCTGTAGGTGGCGATTTGGCCAGCGTAGGAATTCAAATTGGTAACGTCTATTTTACCCTCCTTGGCGAGAATCGACGAGACGTTTATTATCCTCGCGTTTGGAGCTTGCTTTAACCGATCTGGAATGAATTTTAACGAAATTTATTAATTAATTAATTAAACTTCAAGGTGCTTTAAATTAGAACATAACATTACACTGTTGCAGTGTCACATTCATTTATCTCTTCCGTCAAAAATATTTTTCTACTCCCGTCTGTAAAATACCTAATTACACATCGATCTAGCGTGCGGGAAAAGTCACTTTACAACGTCAGTTTCGTTTCCCACGAATCCGAGCCACTTCGGACATTTCCGAGATTTTACCGCACTGGTTGGGAGCAATCGGATGTTTTCGAATATATTTCCCACGCTTTGAATTTTGACGTTTGTCAATTCAGACGGTCATGTCAGTGAATGTATTCGTGTTGTTTTGCTAATATGAATTCAAAGCGTGGGAAATATATTCGAAAACATCCGATCGCTCCCAAACCCGTGCGGTAAAATCCCGGAAATGTCCGAAGTGGCTCGGATCCGTGGGAAACAAAACTGACGTGGAAAAGTGACAGTTACTGCACGCTAGATCGGTGTGTAATTAGGTATTTTACAGATGGGAGTAGAAAAAGTTTTTTTATATAATAACAAATAGGTGAGTAATATAATTGCAAGACAATTCTGAGATACACCGTCTTCCATTTGAAACCAATAAAATTAATATGACTTCAAGTAACACCAAATATACAAATACATCTATCTTAGAATAAACACTGCAAGTAACGTGTCGGACATGTTCAGAATATGGCAATTATAGTGACTAAACAAAATTCAGAGTAAGGTATAATTAATTTAGCCAAATTGAATTTCTATGTAAATTATTCCAGAGATTAAATAAATTTTAATAATCCAATCTTCAGTTATTGAATGTAATACGATTTCAATATTAGGTAGTAAATCAGACACCAGTAAAATTGATTTTGACAATGACAACACGAAAATTCGTGATAGTAACAATATTTTTAGTCGTGTTTGTTATACGTTTGTTATATGCTTTATGCAATTGAAGATGAAGTAGCCATAATTAAGTGGTATTATATTAAAACAGTGTCTGAAATGTTTTTTTCAGTTTTTTCTTGTTAAAACTATACCTTCGATTTCAAGAATTAAACCTATTATTCCCGAATTCGAGTCCAAAGATACCGTAATAAATAACCGCACATGTCTATAATGGAGCAGAAGAAAGGGACGACAAACTACAGTGCTCCGCACGTTAAAAAAACACAATCATTTTTTCTATAAATAAAAAAAATACAAAAATAAAAGAGCTCCGGCAAGGCGATGAAGAAAGAATAGTAGCATTTTGTTTTAAAATCATGGAAATGTACATTCATACTCAACAACAAATCAAATGTCCGAAACTGTCGGTATTGAAGCCAAGACAATTAGCGTTTTGTTGATACTCGAAGTCAATATCCCCAAAAAGTAAATATTGTGGTGGGAATTTGCGGACATCATATTATTGGAGAGAAACCTAGTTGGACATGCAATTTTGACGAAGAAGCCAACAGGATGATTGACGAAACGTCAGCAATTTCAAATAAGCAAAAACCGACGCAGGAGGAATCCAGAAGTTTTGCAAAAAACCTGTGGAAGTTTCTTTGAAAAAAAAATGCAAAATCAAATTGAACTCGCACTAGAAAAAATTATTCGCGAAGATGGTTGCCCCGCCCAAATGTATTTGGGAAATATTTTTTACGGGAATATTATTCGCCCAAGGCGTTGAATCCTTTGCCACCCAGGTCACCTGACCTTTAGCCGAACGACTTCTTTCTGTGGGGTCAATTGAAAAGTGTTATCTATAAAAATGTTAAATCTGACAATTTTAACCAGTTGCATAACGCTGTTTGCTTATAAATTGACAGAATTTTACAATATCAGCTAAGCAATGTTAGAAATAAATTTTATAATCGCTTTGGATATTGTTTAACTGGATGGAAGGTTGTTGGAACATTTACTTCAAAAATAACGTTTATCCTAAATAATGTTTAACAATGTTCTCTAGCCGTATTTTTATTATAATTATTAATTAATTTTAATAAAACACTTGAGGTTCAAATTAATAGTCGTTTTAGCTTTCTTAAACCGTTTTTTAAAAGAAATTCATTCCAAGATCGCTTTAAGAGAAAAGGAGGTCTTATAAGCCAAGTATGAGATTGACACACTCGGTTTAGTTTAGTGTGAAACCAAATGTGCATGTCTTTATGTTGGAAATAGCGTCATGGAAAATATTCGCTGGTGTTTGTTGTATTGACATTGTGCATTTTTGCTACGATATTTAATTCAATAACTGAAGATTGGATTATTACAATTCAATTCAAACTCGGTACATAAGTTATTCATACCGGCCCCTTGTAAATAGTGTAAATATTTAACTAACCATTCTCAATTGGGCAGACCCCATTATGATAATGATCCAGCAATTCGATTTGGGATTTTGAATATCACAATCGACCCAATAATGCGGGACTATATTTATCCTTGTTCTTTGGAAAACATAAAAATTAATTTATCATTATTAATTTTCTGCGACTCGCAATCCTATGGTTAATTGTTCGACATCTCAAAATTTCCTTACTAATTAAAAAGATTAAAATACCATTAGTTGAGTTCTCTGGTGACTTCTTGATCGAAATTATGTAGAAAGTTTGTTGGGATTAGTGGATGGAATGAGTTTTCGCCATTTATAATTATACTTAGAAGAAATTTACCGACTATCCGCCCACCAAATTTACAAATTAGCTTTCTGAATTATTTACAATATAATTACCGTGGCTAATCGTTCGGAGTTATTGTCCCCTTTCACGGGTGTCTGGCGATTTTGAATTCGCAGCTGGGTTAATATCTGCCCTCGAGTAAAGGTTAAATTGGCTATTCCCCCATCATGCCTCAATTTTCGAGTAATAGCTCTAATATTCTCTCTCTATCTAATATAGAAAGTTTCCTTTATAATGAAAAACTTCTACGCACAAGAAAACAATAAATATTTGGTCACTAAATTTGACAATTCAAAATATAATAATTAAAGAAGTAAATTTTGGAATAAAAACCAACAACACTTTCCGATTTTACCATAAAAGAACTGAAGTTCAGGGTCAGCTTATAAATAAAATTAAAAACAGAATCTTAAAAATTTGACACACATTGTGAAAAAAAAATTGTAACCTGCTAGTAGCAACGATTCGACACCACTGGATTCTGTTCCCGTTATATAGGTCGTGTCGTGGCTCCATTAATAATAATGCACACTTTCAAAAGAATTATTCTACTTGTTTGGAAAATAGGAAATAGATTATGACGATGACTAGAGAGGCAGGAGATTGTGGAAACTAGTGTATCCCAGTTTAAATGATCCTCTATCCCTACAATCGTCATCGTTCAGGTTCAGGAGCCATGGCATTTCGCCTTCTCTCCAGGATTTTCGTGGTCTTCCTCGGCGTATTCTTTCATTAATGTTTCATTCCAATAATTTCTTATGACACCTATGTTTTTCCATACGGCATGCATGTTCATACCACCCTAACTGTATTGCGACGATTGTATCCATTATGGTTGGCCCTAAATTTATTCCTTGCCTTACATGAACATTCCTCACCCTGTGCTCAACATAAGCCTACAACATCTTGGTGAATATCACATTTCTATTACCAACAACTTCATTGGCATGGGTTCCGTTGTGTCCCATACCTCTGCGCCTCACTTTTCATTTCTAATCATTACAGTATGCAACACGTTCGTTCGTTTTAAGTCGCTCTTTTATTAAACATTCGCTCCGCTCATGTCGAATAAACTAGTGCGTTAAATGCCATTTACCGCACTTGTTGCATAATATACTAGTACCGCCTCTTTCGTAAAGATGTAGATGTAGGCCGTTTTCTAATCTGGTTAAAGTTTCCAGTTAATTGCGTTCTTGAGAGTAATATTTATTACAATTTACTTATTTTCGAATTATTCTTACTTTTATTTACTTGATATTAAAATAATTCATATGTCAATTGGCTGCCCGCCTCTAAGATTATAATGATGTATAATTATTATTCCAATAAACTGCAGCAACATTCAACAAACTCGTCTTTCTATTGTATGCAAATTTGTGTAGCCCTAATTTAGGACCGATCTTAGAAATTGAATTGTGGAAGTTTCTTTCAAAAATTAACAAACCTTTATGGGAAGTATATCAAGCAAGAAAGGTGAAAGTTAGATCACCGAGTGAATCTGGTAAAATTATTCTGTGTACTGACTTTTTCTTGTTCTAGAAATTATTACGTTATTCCTAATTTTCTTCAAATACCCCATCATATCAAAATTAATAGACCAAAAAATAGACCAAATCAATAAAACTCGGAAAAAACGGAATTTTTAAAAACTATCATTGCAATTCGTCTGAATTTTATGATATAACCTACCCTGTTTAACGATCCCTCTCATTCAAAATTTGCATTTTATCACCCTCTCGCGTTAAGAAACAGTGCATAACCACCGGCATTTTCTCTAAAAATCTCTCTTTGTATGCGTCGCGGACTGTTCATTGTTTTTCCAGCACGTCCATTGCCGTTGACAGCACCATTTAACCGATTCATTTACTGTAAGTCGTAATTGGTAAAGTTTTCTTTCATCCAGCTCACGCTGACGTCGCGTTTTCCACGTGAAGGCCTTCCCGTTTCCCATACAGATGATTTATTAAAGTCACGCTAGGTATGTGTTTATTTGGTATAATACGGAAAATGTTTACCAGGCAAGTTAAACGAGTTGTGCACGACGATGATGGAAAGTGCCACGGCGTATATACACGCCTTTTTGGCTAAAATATCGCAGAGCGATTCGGTTTTTGACTCTCGTCGCCGATCTATGGCGCAAAAACGCGTCGAAGAAAACACTGCAGCGCTCTTCCATATAAAATTAGCATATTTAATAACCTTATAGTCTAAGAGCCAGTGGGCGACCACCTGCATGTATTTGACCAGACCTGGGTTTTTGTACATTGAGGCCCCTATACCTACTTACTATACATGAGGTGGGGAAGCAGTAAGCCGAAAGTGGTGGACCCAGATACTGGTGAGACAGGTATTGATTTTTGGCGAATTTTAAATATATTTGACCACGGCTGCCGTTTTGAAATCCTTAAATATATTATTATAATTATCAAAAAATAATAGTGGCAGTGGAATTTTGATAAATAGTATTTGACTAGATCTGCCATTGAGATATATTATTCGTGCCACGCACGGGTTCAGTAGACTCATTAATTTCAAGCTAGACTGTGCCACTTGACAGTACAACTAATTAGTCTGTATTGAATGTTTATTATGCTATTATCTGAAAAAAAAATCGTTTATTCTTATCATTATTATAAAATCAATGATTTTGAGAACAAAAACTTGCAAGTCAAGATCTATAAAAAATATTTGTAATCAGAAAAACTCCGAAGATCTACAGTTTACCCTGTCGGCTCAAAATTAAAAAGGTGTTTTTCAATAAAAGATTTTTTCCATTATTGAGTTCGAATTTCTCAACTAAATCAAGTTTTTTACCCTTTCAATATGCAGGCGACATTTACAATTTCCATCAGGAGAATTATGACAATTTCGTCGTTCTGATTATTCTTGACAGCCTTCTGCCCATCTGGATTCTCTATTTGGCGGCTGACTCTTGTCTAGATTACCAAATAGCTTCTGGAGGAAAATCATGTCATAAGCTTATTGTGACTGTGAGTCTGGAATTTCTTCGCCACAAATAAATTATTCATTACATATGGTAAATTGGCTCGCAGCGTAAAGTTGTTTTAGCATTCCAGGTTTGGAACTTAATTTATAAGGATATTCGTATATTATTTCAAGAACAGATACCAAAATTTCTGCGATTCGAACTTTAACTGTGTCTTGCTTTTGAACGTTAGGATATCTTAAATTTGAAGTTTGAACCATCTTTTTAGCTTGTTCTTTTAGATTACTTCTTTTCTTCACATTTAGTTCTTCCAAGGAATCTTTATTATCCGCTTTGAAGTTCGATATTATATAAATCATGGTTTAGTTTAGATAGCAAAGTTGATTATTTAACTCAACTATTAAGAGAAGGTATGTTGTCTTGCATATAGTGCTTCCGCTAAAAAAATTGACGCTGGTCCATTTTGAAATTTCTTCTGTAGACCGTGAATTGTTTTGGTCCCTTATGAGCACGTCTAAATTCTCTTCAAAATTAATATTAGAACATCTAGAGTTAAAACACTTTCTGAGCTTTGAAACAATGCTTGATATCACAACTGTTAACAATTGTTGCTGCATTTTATTGACTTATTTTAATCGCCATTATGCATAATAACCTACCATTGTCCGAAATAATCCACTTGTCCCCAACATATATACCTAACATAATATAATTATAATAACCTATACGTAAGTCTTACCGTTTATGACATATTTTCAATTTGATGTCAAAAATATGTATATCGGATGATTTCCTTTTAGAAAAGCATCCTATTGTACTTTAGTGGTATATTTTTAAAATAATTAAATACAGGACGGACAAAAACTGAAATTATATTTATAATTTAACATTTAAAATAATGGTGACTTTGTACAAGGTTTCTTATATCAAAAAATTAAAACCATCAACGAAAAATTCAAAATAGCCACAATCGATGTATTTCGGCGTTTATTATTTTTCAAAATATTTACCAAAAAATCAAGGTGGATCCTTCTATAATTTTGGGTGTAAATTTTATTTATAGGACGATTTGCATTTATTGGTGAGTTTGTAACACAATTTATTGATTTGACGAAGAACTTTCATTCAAAAATACACTTATGGAAATATTGGAGGGTTGGAGGAAAATCGAATCACATTTTTCCCATCCTAACTAATACCAAATCGAAAAATAGTAACACACTGCCGACTTCCAAGGGGAAGGAAATTTTTTCGCATTTACTATTCAAGACGATGCAGATATCGTCAAGAATCGACTATCCATAATTTTCTTCTCCAGTTTGTCTAAAAAATGTATTATCAACTTCAAGGAGATTTTGTTGTAACGCAGTTCTCAAAAGAATAACAATAATATTTATATTCCCTAAAGATTTCTCTGAAAACCAAAAGCCCGTATTGTTGAAATCTGTTGCCGAATTTCTATTTCTATTTCCTTAAATAAACATCAGTAATTTCATCTCACTCTCTCTCTCTCAAAAAACGTCTACACTCCATACTTTTGAAAAATTAGAAAACAAAAGAAGCGCTAGTGCTTCAAATATTAGTGCCACAACCACAAGTTGTTGAATGCTAATCTAAATTGCTAAATAAATTTTCTGTGAGAAACCTAAAATGGATCCGTTTGCATAAACACATCTCTTCCAATCTCAATCTGCTCTAGAACCTCCTCAGAGTCAGCATTAATAATATCATGCTACAGGCTAGTAATGAAGTTCGTCAGGGTTCTCCATTATCATTGCGATTGTTGGCTAGATTTTAATTTGCTATTAAAAATACAAAAAACAATTTCTAGGTTGTGATGTTAGTTGAAGTTAGTTGAACACAGTATTTGTATTCCTCAAAATTCAAGACTAATGTCTCTGAGAAAAGTAGTTTCGATATTTTTTAGATAGCCCTAGAAATTGAAACCTTTACTAAAAAATATATACCCTTATCAGGATAACTTACCAAGCAACAGTATGGTGAACAAAAACGGTCCGAAGTAATTAATTTGCATGAGGATTTGAAGTCCATCGTCAGTCGACTTGTTTCTTGTGCCCCCGACCCCCGCGTTGTTCACCAAAATGTCCACCCGAGCTTCGCTGTCCGAAATATCTTTGGCACACTTTTCGACCGACGCCAGCGACGAAAAATCGACGATTTTAACCTCAACGTTTGTGTTCTGGGTACGTTGTACGATTTCTTCCCTAGCGATGTCGGCCTTCTCTTGGTTTCTGCAAGCCAGGATTACCCGAGCTCCTCGTTTAGCGAACTCCAATGCCGATTGGAATCCTATACCTGAAAAGAAATAAAGTATTACGTCGAAACACTCTAAGAACCAACACCCAAACAGTAGAAGAAACATATAGGAATGGTCAGTAAATGCGATAGAGATTGTAGAAATACGCAGAGCGTATGATAGAGAATGTCTCTATAGGTTGGATTGTGACAATCCGAGCAATTGTTAAGGCCTACGGTCCATATAGTACAATACAACTAAATTGATAGTAATGGGGAAGGTGGAACAAATTTTTATAAAGCTGGGACTGCTTGGAAGAGGTGTTACTATTCTTACTTTTTAACATATTAAAATTTCCCGGATGTACCTTTGACCAAAAGGCCTCAAAAAAAGTCCACCATCTTGAAAATCAGTACTTTTGGACAAAATCTTGTTACTTTCGAAAATCGATGAAATTGAATTTTTCGAAAGTATCTAAGTTCGTATAAAAATTTTATATCTCGGTAATGGCAGGTTCTATGGTATCGCTGTTGGTACAGAAATGACCGTTGGAAAAAAAAGTTGTTTTTTTTGTCCGTTTGTCCGTTCTCCGTTCTCGTCTTTTGGTTTTTCTTTAATACCTTTCGAACCGTGCCTCCACGAGGCACATAAGCTTATAAGAAATGAAATTTGAAGCAATTGCCCCCAGCTTTGCCCCGTAACGGAAGCTATTGAAAATGAGAGGCTAGGGGAAGTATTCTAAAAAAAATTAAAAATCGTATGTGTAAGGGTCTACAAAAAACATCATTTTTCAAAAACCGTTCACCAGACCAAAAAAATTCTTGAACCAGAAGAAACTTTTAGGCTTGACAGTTTTTCAAAAATATACCGGGTGCGATACAAATTCAAAAAAATTGAAAATGTTGTCCCCCTATCATTGAAAATTGGTTATAACTGAAAGACTCATAATAAGATCAATAAGATCTCACTTTTTATTTAAGGTTTTCAACTATTGCACAGGGTATTCCTGATATTCCCGATGAGAAATGTGTTAAGTGTCCTAAATTTCAAGACATCAACTTCAAATTTAGCAGAGAAAGTCCATGTCGACATTTAAATGGTAGAAATTGGCCGCAATCAAATTTTACCGAGTATTTTTTAATAATTTTTGAATTTTTTTTTTGGTAATTTTGGCTTCCAGAAAAACATGTTGTTCAGTTTTGGTTATTTATTTTGTATACTGACACTAAATATTAATTCATTACCTGGGTTTTCTATATATTGATTTCTTTATGATTCGGGGTTAATCGAATACATTTATCAATTTTTATTTTAATTTAATTTTTTATATACTTTATGGTAAAAAACGCGTGTCATTTCACCGCGATAATATGAGCCCTCGGGTTTTGTTTGGCCGAATTACCGCGCATAGTTTTCGCGTGTTTGCGATTGGTAACCCCCACTACATTGCTGCAATGGACATGGTGTGGAGAAAGAAAATCCGAGAGGCCTCGGGGGTCTTACACTAGAGTGCACATAAGGTAGGCCGTTTATTTTATAATTCGAGGGTTTATCCGTAGTTTTGTTTTGTTTGTGATCAAATTTTAAATTAAGAATTTATTTCGATGAACTTGTATACTATTATTCCACACGCGGCTTCTAAAAGGAAGTCTAGGAAACATTGAGTCTCTTATATATGGTCTTCGAGCCCGGATTTTTAAAGAATCAGTAATTCAAAAATAAAATTATTTTGTCTTTTCTAAATTCATTTTCTAATACTAAATTGGTAAAAATAATTTTGATTTCATTCACTATAAAGGCGTTTAAATAAGACGACCTTGAATAAATTTGACGAAGTATCGGAAAACAGGTAAAGAATTTAAATCGTTTAGAGTTTTTTGCGGTCTTGATTTTGTGTACGATATTTTGATTGTTTTTTGTTATCAATTGTGGTTTTGGTGGATTTTACGAGGTTGTTCGCATATTTTAATATAATTGAATTTAATTTCTTCTTTCTTGCCATTTTTTTATGATATAGAAAATTTCTAAAAATATTTTTAAACCATGGCAGATTCAAAAGTAAATAGAAGAAGCGTTTTTATACAAAGATTGAAAGAAATCTACGATTTAGCTACTGCTGCTACACAGAACCCAGCTAAAATTAATGATTTTAAAATACGATATTCGGCGTTAGAATCAACATATAATGAGTTTGATAGGTTGCATTTGGACATAATTTCTGATAAAAGAGTAACGGATGTAATGCTTGAGCAGCAGGAGCTTATTCGAGCGGAAGTTGATGATCAATACTTTTCAATTAAAAGCATTTATAGTGAACTTTGTATAAAATCTGAAATATCCATGATGGTACCACCTTCGCCACCAGGCCAGAGCCATAATTTGCCGCCTTACCTAAATTTTAATCTTCCCCGTTTAGATATACCTGTTTTCTCATGCAATTTAAAACAGTGGCCGACATTTTTTGATTTATACAGGAGTTCGGTGCATAATATGAACTTTTCCGCTTCACAAAAATTTCAATTACTGCTTACTCTCGTAACCGGAGAACCGCTCAGTTTATTGAGAAATATTCCTATAACTGATGACAATTACGCAGTAGCCTACGATACTTTAATAAAAAGATATGACAATAAACGGCTTTTATCGACTCATTACTTCAATGAAATAATGAACATTTCCAAAATTTCAAATCCATCGAATCAAGCACTGCGTAATGTTGTTGATAAGTTTTGTGAAAATGTGGAGGCATTAAAATTATTGAACTTTCCTACTGCGGAATGGGATTTTTTGCTTTTTAATTTACTCTTAATGAAAATCGATTCTGATACCTTACAGCGATTTGAAATGGAGCACGCAAAATTTGATATACCCACTTTTGCGCAGTTGAAATTATTTCTGAATAACAGGTGTAAGGTTTTAGATACGTTGACCTATACTCAGGAAGAAAATAAATCAAAAAATGCCGGAACCATTTATAATAGTAAGTCTTTTGCCAGTAACCGTCAACATAAGTCAGGTTCTAGGAATAATGGTGATCACTCCAAAGCATTTTTTACTAATACTCCTTCTAATAACGTTCCTACATTGAATTGTGGTATCTGTAGGACCCAGCATTCCATTATAAACTGCTCCGTCTTTTTAAGTAAGACTCCTCATGAGCGCTATTTACTAGTTAAACGCAACCGTTTGTGTGTGAATTGTTTGAGTTCGTTTCACAAATTTTCGAAATGCAGTTCTAATACGACCTGTTCTTCTTGTACGAAACGCCATCATTCTTTACTACATTTCGAGTCGGCACATGGTAATGAACGTAGTCCACCTAATGACGATGTTTTGCCCAGTGCTAATGACTCTTCCGTAGATCAACCACATTGTGGCACCACTTCCATAAATTCTAATAGTGCATTTACGCTCCTTGCGACTGCAAAAGTGGATTTTCTGGACAGCCAAGGTTATTCCCACACAGTTAGAGTACTACTGGACAGTGGAAGCCAAGGCAATTTTATATCCGAAAGATGCTTTAAGAAATTAGGACTTTCCCGCTCTCGTTTGAACATTCCAATTAATGGGTTAGGTAATATAACATCTGTATCGTCGAATGGTGTTACTTGTTGTACGGTCCGCCCGGTGGGTAAGAACACACCTTCTTTTCCCATAGAATGTATCGTTTTACCGCAGATTTGCTCCTACATGCCTTCTGTATCTTTCAGTCGCGAGAACTGGTCACATTTGGAGAATTTAGTCGTTTCTGATGACACCTACAATACTCCTGGACCTATAGATGCTCTCATCGGGTGCGAGTTATTCCCTTTAATTTTGTTGCCTGAGAAGGTGTGCGGTAAAGAGTTGGAACCTGTCGCATTCAATACATTATTTGGCTGGGTAGTGATGGGTAAAATTGATCGTATAAAAAGCAAGTCCTCATATTCCTGTTGCACACTATTGGAAGAAAACCGGGATATTAATAAAACTCTTCAAATGTTTTGGGAAATGGAGGAAGTTCCAAGTAGCAAGTCTTCATTAACCCTTGACGATCCCGCTGAAATTTCTTTTAACGAGACTCATTCTCGAACTCCTGAAGGACGTTTTATCGTTACTCTACCGTTTTCCAGTGGTGAGCCATTATTTTCTGACTCACGCTCCATAGCCCTAAAAAGGTTTTATAGCTTAGAGCGCCGTCTTCTTAAGGATCCTCCATTATTTGAGATATATTCCAAATTTATGAAGGAATACTTAGAGCTGGATCATATGGAACCCGTGTCTGCTCCTGTCTCTGATGTTGCCCAGCGCCACTTCTACATCCCTCACCATGGGGTTACTAATTCGAATAGTACGACTACTGCATTGCGCGTAGTCTTTGACGCATCTTGCAGTCCGCGGGATCGATCGTTGAATGACACTTTGTTGATTGGTCCCAAACTACAAAATGAAATTGTAAGTATTCTGTTAAGTTTTCGAAGGTTTCCTGTAGCATTTACTGCCGATATCAAAATGATGTATCGACAAATACTTGTTAATGACAGCCACCAAGACTACCAACGTATTTTATGGAGATTCTCCCCTCGAGAACCTGTTCAAGATTTTCGCCTAAAAACCGTAACCTACGGATTAAATTCAGCTCCTTTCCTTGCTCTGAGATGTCTTTTACAATTAGCCACCGAGGGTAGAGATAGATTTCCTAGGGCCGCAGCAATTTTAGCGTCCCAAGTGTATGTTGATGATATATGTGTATCTTGTAAATCTTTAGAGGATGCTGTGGATATCAAACAACAACTTATTGCTCTATTGGATGAGGGTTGTTTTTTCCTTAGAAAATGGTCTAGCAATTGTGTTGACTTCTTAGCTACTATACCTTCAGATATTCTACAGAAACCTCTCGCACTTGACACTAAATCCGATCCTTACTTGAAGGTTTTGGGTCTCAGATGGTCTCCAGAGAAGGATATCTTCTCATACGACATACAATTTCTCAACTCGACATGTACTAAGAGATCTATACTTTCTGAAATATCCAGAATTTTTGATCCAATTGGATTACTTTGTCCCATAACTCTATTAG